AGCAGGTATCTCTGTCACATTAATCTGGTTTACTGCATTTGTTGTATATGCTTACCAGCATTTGAAGAGTTATTTTATTTGCTTGCGTTCTTGTTTATCATCTTCTCCCTGACCAGACTATAAGCTCCGTGAGAACAGGGACCACGTTTTTCTTACTCAAGGTTGTGTTGCCGGGGCCTGGACCCGTGCTGGGCACACTGGAGAAAGCCAGTGAACACTTATCACCTAAATGAGCCCACTGGCCCCGGGGGAGATAGGTACGTCTCCAGACCTAAGGTAGCAGGATGTGACGAGTAAGCCAGGTCTAAGCAGTCTGGAGGAAGGTGGTAGAGGTGAGTTCTCCTGGGGGGAATCTGGAAAAACCTTGAAGAAGAGGAAGGATTTGAATTGTGACAGGAGCAGGTAGCACTTCTTGAGGAAATTGCAGAAGCATTTCTGTAGGCATAGGGTCCTGGACGAGGGGAGGGCCCAGCCTCTGGATGGCTGGGGTATAAGATCCAGGTGTGCGGGAATTCCCTGGCAGTCCAGTGGCTAGGACTCGGCGCTTTCACTGCCGGGGCCCAAGTCCGATCCCTAGTTGGGGAACTAAGATCCCACAAGCTGAGTGGCCAAAAAAAAAAAAAAAAAAATTCCAGATGTGGGGTGCTGGGAGCATAGGAGATTAACCTGAAAAGGTAGAAGGTAGACTGGGCCAGGCTATGAAGTGTCTTGTTAGGGACTGAATTGTGTCCCCCCAAGATTCATATGTTGAAGTCCTAACCCCTAACACACCTCTGAATGTGACTGTATTTGGAGATAGGGCCTTTAAAGAGGTAATCAAGATTCAATGGAGGGCTTCCCTGGTGACGCAGTGGTTAAGAATCCGCCTACCAACAATGCAGGGGACACGGGTTCGATCCCTGGTCCAGAAGATCCCACATGCTGCAAAGCAACTAAGCCTGTGTGCCACAACTACTGAGCCTGTGCTTTAAAGTCCGTGAGCCACAACTACTGAAGCCCGCATGCCTAGAGCCCGTACTCCGCAAGAAGAGTAGCCACTGCAATGAGAAGCCTGCACCCTGCAACAGAGAGTAGCCCCCACTCGCCGCAACTAGAGAAGCCTGTGCACAGCAACAAAGACCCAACGCAGCCAAAAAAAAAAAAAAAAATAAGATTCAATGGAGGCCATATGGATAGGCCCTAATCCAGTAGACTGATATCCTTATAAAAACAGGGTGAGACACCAGGGATGCGTGCACTAGAGAAAAGACCATGTGAAGAGCTGGCGAGAGGGCAGCCATCTGCAAGCCAAGGAGAGAGGCCTCAGAAGAACCCAACCTTGCCAACACCTTGAGCTACGACTTCCAGCCTCCAGAACTGTGAGAAAATAAATTTCTGTTGTTTAAGCCGCTCATGCTGTGATCTTTTGTTATGGCAGCCCTAGCAAACTAATACAGGTCTTAAGATTGAAATTTTTAAATTTTAAATAGTACTTTATTCACCTGGTTCAAAAATCAAACAGGACAAGTAATAGTGACCAGGTGATCAGGTCAACCACAACAGTGAAATGGCAGGTTGATAGTATGCACCTTTGATATGATGTGATGAAAATGGCATTTTACCTCTGTGACATTCCTCCCCAAATCCCATAAACTCAATCTAATCATGAGGAAAATAGCAGCTAAATCTCAAGTGAGAAATATTCTACAAAGTACCTAATCAGTATTCCTCATTAATTGTCAAGGTCATAAAAAATAAGGAAGGTCTGGGGAAGTGTCACAGCCAAGAGGAGCCGAAGGTGACATCACTAAAAGTAATGTGGTGTTATGGATGGGATCCTGGAACAAAGGACATTGGGTAAAACTAAGGGAATTTACCCAATGAATAAAGTATTGACTTAGTTAATAAAAATGTATCAATATTGGTTCATTAGTTTTAATGAATGTACCACACTAATGTAAGATGTTAATAGTAGGAAAAATAGGGTGGAGGCTGGCGGAAGGAATATGGAAACTCTGTACTATCTTTGCAAGTCTTCTGTAAATCTAAAACTGCTATAAAGTTTACTTTTAAAAAGCAATAGTGAAAATTTGGGACTTCCCTGGTGATCCAGTGGGTAAGACTCTGCGCTCCCAATGCAGGGGGCCCGGGGTTCGATCCCTGGTTGGGGAACTAGATTCCACATGCAAGCCGCAACCAAGGAGTCCGCATGCCTCAAATAAAAGACCCCGCATGCCACAACTAAGACCAGGCGCAGCCAAAATAAATATAAAATAAATAATAAATAAATAAATATTAAAAAAAAAAGTAATAGTGAAAATTCTTACTCTGATTTCTGTCCCTAATCCACCCAGTTCCCATTCCCATCTGCAATCATTACTTTATTAGTGTTCCTGATCATTCAAGAATTCCTTTATGCAAATATGAATCTATACTGATTTTCTCCCCAAATGGGTTTTTTATTTGCTTTAAAGAGTAATCATTTTTTTAAATATAAAATAGTTCAAACATACAAAGTAGAGAGAAAAGGACAATGTATCCCATGTACCCATCACACAGATTCAACAATTACCAAGAATTGGCCGAGCATGCATAAGCTATCCCACCTGCCTCGCTCTCCTTTGCTGAACTGTTTTGCTAGTATTCCTCTCTGAACAACCCAGACATCTTCTTAGACCACCCTAAAAACCACATCCCAGCATCAACAGTGACTCCTGAAGGGCCTCTTGTGAACTTTAATCTGGGTGATGTGGAGACACAGAGGGCTTTGCAGGGTCGGGGTGTTTGTGTGTGACCTAATTATGTCCATGTGTGGGATGGTCCAGGCGTGGAGGTCAGAGAAGGGAGGCCAATTATGTACGACCTTGGTCTGGGTACCAGGTGATGGGGCCTGATGCTTGGAGCTTGCAGAAGGATGGAGAGGAGTGGCAGCAGCTGGAGAGCCTCTGTGGCGGGCTGGTGACCAGCCTGGCTTCAGATGGATGCCTGCCTGGAGGACAGAGAGTACCTTGGTGTGAGAGCAGGGCAGCTGCCACTGTCTGTGCCCACAGGTCCTACAGGCAAGAGTGGGAATCCAATGGCCAAGCCTCCCCTTCTCAGGAGAGTGAGCTCATTTTGACCACCTCATCCCAGGTGGCGATTCTCTGCCGTGCCCTGGCAAAGCCTGTCCCTTGCCTGGCTTAGTGGGCCGGTACCCACTCCTTCACGACTCATGACCATAGCGTGTCAGGGCTGAAAGACCCTCAGAGATCACGGAATCTAACCCCTTCCTGGTTAGGGATGGGGAAACTGACACCCAGAGAAGAGGTGCAAGTTGCTTAGGGCCACACAGGGAGTCAGAAGTAGAGCTGGAATTGGAACCCAGGTCTCTGACTTTCAACCTAGGATCTCCCGTTACCTAGAGCTTCCTCTTCTCTCCAAACCCTGATCCCAGAAGAGATGTGTCATTAGCCATCGAGGCCCAGTGTGTATAAATTTTAAAATCCCTGCATAATCCCTCTCTCAGGGGATTACCTGGGATACATGTATATACTAAGCCTGCTTGCTAACGATAGCATAACTACAGAAAACTACTATTTATGGAGCAGCTCCCATGGGCCACAAACTGTGCTAAATCTCCCTAAATATGAGGCAGGTGTTATGATTCCTGTAATTTCCCATTATAGAGATGGGCAAATTGAGATACAGAGAGAAGATGTAGCTTGTCTAAGATCATACTGTGAGGGTGTGGCCAAGGCAGTGTCTGTCTAACTGGAAAGTCCTACACTCTCAACCACTAACCCCCTTGGCCAAGAGGAGTATGGTGTTGCTCTCTGGCCTCCTCCCTCTTTGTCCCTCAGCCCCACCCAGCAGCCTCAGGCCCCTCAAAGGAGCAGACAGGCTAGGGATGGACTCTGACCACCACCTGCTGTCATCTCTAAGTAGCTGAGCCCTTCCCAAGGTGGGTTTGGGGCCATAAACAGACCCCTATGCTCCGGATGCTCAAGGAAGTTTTAGAGCTGCCTGTGGAGTGCATCAGTTACCATCTCATCTCTCTCAGGGTTCCAGTGAGTGGTACAGTGTGGAGGGCACAGAAAGGATGCCTGCCCATTGGCCGGCCTTCACTGAGAGTCTGCTCAGCCCCTGCCCTGGCCTCTGTTACTCGGGCGCTCAGACCTGAGTGGGTGGCGTCACGGGAGAGAGGGCTGTAAAGAGAGACCCGGACCCTGGAGAGAAGGACTGGGCGCTGCCCGGAGACGTCTGAGCATCGAAGGATGCTGGTACAGGTGCGCACAGGCATTCTAGGCCGGGGGTATCGCCTGTGTGAAGGGCCAAGGCTGAAGAGCGGTCACGTGCCCGGGAAGGTCGGCTGGCCGTAGGGAAAGGGCAGCGGGAGTCGCAGAACACGCGGGGAGGTAGTGGTGTCGGGGAACAGGTGCCCAGGGACCGAGCGCCACGCCGGCTCGTGGGTTCATCTTGAGCAATGCGGAGCCGGGTCACTTGCATGGTTTGGGGCGCACCTACACCCTTCCAATTCGGCCCCTGGCCTGCAGCCCCACCGGGCGCCGGGAGCCGGGGGTCAGGACGCGGTCAAAGGCGGGCGCGCGCGCCATCGCCACGGGATGCGCCCCGCCCCCTCTGGCCTCCCTGAGTTGGGGTTCGAGTCTCGGCCCTACCGTGACCCGCTGCGGTGCCCCGGCCGGACCCTTCCTTCTTTGGACCTCGGTTTTCCCATGCCCGACGTCTCCGAGGGTCCGGGATCTTGGCCCCGCACGGCCTGGAGCCCACAGGCCGTCACGCCGGGCGGGGCATTGGTCCAGCTTCCGCAGCACTCCCGCCCCTCCCCCGCCCGCCCGCGGGAGCGCGGACGCGCTCGTACCTGGCCGCGGCCGGGAGCGAGGTTGGGCGGGCGGGGCAGGGATGCCCCACCCCCCCGGACCCGCCCCCAGCACAGTCGGGCCAATCGGAGGGGGCGGCTGGCCCCGTGTGGGGCGACGCGCTGGGGGCAGGGCCTGCGGGGGCTGAGGAGAGTCCGCGGGCGGGCGGCGGGAGGCGGTCGGGCGGAGGTGGTGGCGACGACGACCGGTCCTGAGACAGCGACGCAGCGAGCCGGCGGCCACGACAGGGCCGGCCAGGCTCCGCAGCCCGCTGCAGCCGCCGCCTCGCCGTGAGGGCCCGAGAGCGCGGCGGCGGGCGCGCGGCCTGTGAAGGCGGCCGGAGCGGCGGGCGCGGCGCGGCGCGACGCCGAGCGTCCTGTCAGGCGGCGGAGGGCGCCGCGGATCCGTGCCGCGATGATGCCGGTGGGTGCGGGCGGCGGCGGTTTCCTCCGCGGGCGGCTGGCCAAGCCTCCTTCCTCCCGCGACTCCCGACCCTCGGTGCCCGCGCGAGCCCGGCGGGCCGGGCGGGCGGGGAAGGAAGTGGCCTGGCGGGCGCGCCCGGCCCCGGCGCCCCCCGGGCGGGCAGGTGGGGCGGCGCCGGCTGTCAGCGAGGGCTGAGCCGGCGTCCGGGGGTCCTTGGTCCGGGGGTCGCTTCGGGGTCCGGGTGCGGGGGCCGGCGTGGTCGGGGGTAGGTCCGGGCGGGGGTCCCGGGCCGGCGCCCCCTCCCTTGGCCGCGGCGCGGCCCTTCCTGCAGAGCCTCCCCGGCCGCATTGCCCGGGAGGGGAAGCCGGAGGTGAAATTGGAGCCGGTCGGTTTTCCCCGTGCGTCCCGGCGGGGGGTCGGACGGGGAGGCAGGGGTGTCGTTTGGCGCTCGCCCCGTTTCGGGGTCTCGAGGCGCCTCTGCCCCCCGCCTGAAATGGGCCGGTGTCGTATTTGGTGTCGGCAGTGTGGGCACCCCCGTGTGGTGTTCCCACGCTGGAAACCCACATTTCTCCGTAGCCCTTTCCTGATTCTGGAATCCTGTTGTATTATATTTAGGAATTTACTTTACATTCCTCACTTAGGAATGGATTTAGAGAGCCGTTTTAGGAACTCCCTTTCACCGTGCCTTCGAGATTTGTACATTTTGCGTTAACTGGCCTGTTGTCAGTGTGCTTTGAAGGTTGAACTAGGTTCATTTGTGGTGGTGCCGCCTTTGTCCTGCCCTCAAGGATGCGTTGTACTAGGAAGAAGACAGTGCTCATTAAATTTGCCATTCTCCTACCTGACCTTTTCCTTTACCTGTAATCTAAATAGCAGTGGGTGCTGAATTATAATTTTTTCATCTGGCTTTTTGTGAAGTAAATGTCATGACTTGTGAAAAAAATGAAGGGCTGGTGGTACCCTGTTGGATGTATTGGTTTTCTGAGTGCCTGTATATTAAGTAAAATTCTCAAACACATTTATAGTAAAGTAACAACAAAATCGTTCTTTTAGCCTACAATTTCTGCATTGAAAATCACATTTCAGAAGGAAAGTACCGTTTCTCTGCATTTTCTGCTTGAATACTGTTATTCTGCTATGCCTGCACCCAAGGACATTTAGATCAGAATTTTTTTTCCCTGATCTTTCAAGTCATTTCCTGCCTCTTGATAATCTCTTCTCCCCTTTTTGAACTGATTCCAACACACCGTGTTTGCAGAGTCTTAAGGTTTGACCTAGTTGATCCTTAGATCCTTCTTTGGCATCAGAGCTTGTTGTATTTTTAAACGTTTGGTTTTAAATGAGTGATTGTCTTGTAATGGAAGGAGAACTGGATGAGCCTCAGAAGAACCAGAATCAAGTACTGGTTCTGCTACTTTTTAGCAATGTGACCTTGAACAAGTCAAGGTCTCCAAGCCTGGAATTACCTCTATAAAGCAGGGATAAAAACATACCAATATCTGAGGGCTGTCCTGAGGATCAAAAAGGATGATGTGTCCAATAGTGCTTGTCAAACAGAATGCCCTGCAAATATTTATTATGGTTAATATGGCTCTGAATTGTCAATTTCTAATTTTAACCTCTGCAAGATAAGGCGTTTGGAAACAGTTCCCTCCCTATTTCTCACTGGCTAGATTTGGAAAAGGCACTACGGTGTTTTGGAATTTTGAAACCACTTTTAGTTAAATCCTGTAACAGTCGATACCATAGTAATATTGAAGGATATCTATAAAATTTTGACTGGTTTCATTATTGTATGATGTTTCATTTTAAATACCCTGTTAAGAGATTTGGCTTACATTTTCCATATGGTACATTCAGACATTTTACTTCTATTCCTCACATAGTTAGAATTTCTAGTCTGAACCTTACCAGGTTTCCTTTTTACGACGTTTGCTTAGCTGGCAACTGGGAAATTTCTTTATGATACTCATAATAATCAAATGTTGTTTTTAAAAAACAGGCCTACTAACTATTTAGAACACACTGCTTTTATTTTTAAATGCCTTCTAGAAACAGATGGTATTTCTCTTAGTCCCTCTTTTGTGGTCTTTGTATTTCCTTCTTGTTCCCTAAAAGTACGACTTTTAGGATTGAGTCCTTCCTCTATAAATGTAGTTGGCGTTGGTTGTAAATTTAATAGAAGTTTTAAGAACACGCCATTCTCACTTGATACTATCTTAAACTATGTATCCAAGGTATAAATGAGATTTTTTCTTTATTATATATTTGGTGTTCATTATCATCGTCATGAATCATCAGAGGAGGGCTAGATCGCATTTTGCATAGTTTGCATAGAGTAGCACTACCCAATAGGAATGTAATGAGTGACACAAATGGGACTTAAGTTTTTCTAGTAATTGGTATTATTATTTTTTTTTTTTTTTGCGGTACGCGGGCCTCTCACTGCTGAGGCCTCTCCCGTTGCGGAGCACAGGCTCCGGACGCGCAGGCTCAGCGGCCATGGCTCACGGGCCCAGCGGCTCCGCGGCATGTGGGATCTTCCCAGACCGGGGCAGGAACCCGCGTCTCCTGCATCGGCAGGCGGACTCTCAACCACTGCGCCACCAGGGAAGCCCTTGGTATTATTTTTAATAGTATCTTTTATTAACTCAGTATATCAAAAATATTATCATTTTAACATGTAATCAGTATGAAAAATTTACTAATGGATATTTTACTTTTTTTTGGTACTCAGTCATTGAAAGCCAGTGTGAATCCAGTAAAGTTTTACATATATAGCACACCTCATTTCAGATTAGGACATTTCATGTGCTCAGTAGCTACATGTAGCCGGTTACTCTATTGAACAACACAGGTTTAGAGTATATTCTACTTATTTGAGAGTCTGTAATAACTTTTAATTGATCAGATGGCTTACTGCAGCACCCAGTCTCTCAGCCGTTGGAAATAAGTATCTGGCTGTGTTCTCATCTGACACAATAATGTCTTTGTAGAAATGTTCAATTTGCCTGTTACACAAAGTTTCATGATTGTCTACTTTTAAACAAAGCTGTAACTTGGAATTTTCCCTTATTAAAATATTATGGCATTTTAGTATTTGTGGTCATTCACCTTTTTTCAGTGGGTGACATTTTAAAACTGTTTTCCCAAGGAAAAAAGAGGGCTATACTTTAAAGATTACTTGTTGGCTGGTCCCTAAAGTCTAGACCTGAAATCATTTAGGCCATACCTAAACAGATTTGATAGAAATAAGAATTTTTTTAAAAAATAAATTTATTTATTTATTTTTGGCTGCGTTGGGTCTTTGTTGCTGCACGCGAGCTTTCTCTAGTTGAGGCGAGCGGGAGCTACTCTTCATTATGGTGTGCAGGCTTCTCATTGCGGTGGCTTCTCACCGCATGCGGAGCATGGGCTCTAGGTGCTCAGGCTTCAGTAGTTGTGGCATGTGGGCTCAGTAGTTGTGGCTCACGGGCTCTAGAACACAGGCTCAATAGTTGTGGCGCACGGGCTTAGTTGCTCTGCGGCATGTGGGATGTTCCCGGACCAGGGCTCAAACCCGTGTCCCCTGCGTTGGCAGGCGGATTCTTAACCAGTGTGCCACCAGGGAAGTCCTGCTTAATCATTAAGTCATTTGATAGGCTTGAATTTACAGGCTAACTCGGTAAACAAAACACTGAGGACTGGAGAAGATTTATTTTTTTTAACTGGTTTCTTTAAGACAAAATTACGAACATAATATTACCATTTAAAATAATAAAACTATTTCTAGCCTTTGGAGTGCCCAAAAAATTCACAAAAGGAAAAGCAGAGCTTCGCTCATACAAAGATGTGTATATAAAGGATTTTATTGGGCTTCCCCGGTGGCGCAGTGGTTGAGAGTCCGCCTGCCGATGCAGGGGACGCGGGTTCGTGCCCCGGTCCGGGAAGATCCCACATGCCGCGGAGCGGCTAGGCCCGTGAGCTATGGCCGCTGAGCCTGCGCGTCCGGAGCCTGTGCTCCGCAAGGGGAGAGGCCACAACAGTGAGAGGCCCACGTACCGCCGAAAAAAAAAAAAAAAAAAAAGATTTTATTAGTACATTTTATTGAAATAAAGACTAGTCTATAGGGATAACTCTTCTGAAGACTACAGTATTAAGTACAGCAACAAAGTTTTTTTTTTTTAGCGGCACTTGGACCTCTCACTGTTGTGGCCTCTCCCGTTATGGAGCACAGGCTCCAGACGCGCAGGCTCAGCGGCCATGGCTCACGGGCCCAGCCGCTCCGCGGCATGTGGGATCTTCCCGGACCGGGGCACGAACCCGCGTCCCCTGCATCGGCAGGCGGACTCCCAACCACTGCGCCACCGGGGAAGCCCGACAACTCTGTTTTAAATGTAAATGTGTTAAATGTCTCTTTTTTTTCTCAGCATCCTACTTTGAAAAGTTTATGCTAGCATATATGCCTAAGAGTTACTTAGAATTTTTAGCATGATAGAAACTTAAAATATCACCAGGTTACTGTATTGAAGTTATATAACTGGTTGTCAACATGCATTTTTGTGTGTTTGCACAGATGGGCAGTAGCTTCCCAGCAAAAGTTTGGTGGGATTTTGATGCCTTGAAGTGCTGTTGCCATAGTTATTTCACAAACTATGGTTCTAGGGCTGAACAGAGGAATGGTGGTAATCAGGTTCTATTGTGACACTTTCTTGGCTCGATTGCTTTGTTTTATTTCACTGCAAAGATAGCCGTATGACTGTTGTTCACACTAATTGGTAAGCAAAAGCTGCTGTTACTAGATTTTGTAAAATAAAAATCTTTGCATGGTGACATCATACAGAACAATAAAAGACTGGAAAATGAGGTAGTTTTGATTAAAATTAATAAGAGACATTCGAAATGTTAGTGTCTAATTCAGAACAGGGTCTTGCTAGGAGTATTGTTAAGTGTGTCTAGAGAAAATGTTAACTGAAGTTTTGGCAGCATCATGATTTATAACATATGTTGTGATTGCAGTC